CAGAGTTGGGCCAAACAGATACTTATTCGAGCACCAACAAGATTGCCACTATGCGTTAACGAAATACGGAGAAAATAAAGCAAGGAACAACCCTAGTATTCTGAGGTAGCTACCAGAAGTGACTATTTGATTGATAAAAAAATATTATTAATTTGTTTTTTATTTAATATTTTGTTAAGATGGTGATTCTTCGATAAAATTGAGTATAATTCCCATTCAGTTAAAACCTTAATTTAGATTAATAAGGATTTTCTCCATAAATTCATTAAATATACATATTGCTGCTGTTTTCTGGGAAGCGATGCAACACTCACTCGTTATTTGGACTTACTTCTCGCAGATCAGAGTAGCAACAACGGTTGCTTGATTTTAAACATTCAAAAACCCTATGGATTTCATATAGCCAGATTTGCACATGTAACCTATGTAATGTGCTAGTGTTCAATGTGTAAATAATTCTGCTTCAGGAGAATGGGGCAGTGGCGGACTATTTGATGCCCTGAACAGACTACCACGGATCCGTGACTACTACGAAAGTACGAAGCGCATGCGTGATCTGAAACTTGGAGACCTACATACAGTGCCTGCCGATGAATTAGACCCAGCACCAGGAAGGACGATCTTCGTGGCATTGGTTGTATCGCAATCAGTACGGAACAGGCGTACGTATGTTAGTGTGTCTGATGCACGAAACTGGTAAACGTTATTCTCAATTCTAGTTGCAGAGATGCTTATATTTTTTATGTCCTTTATTAACAAATCAGCCTTAGCCTTAGATGAAAGATATTTAATGCCTTTATGATAAATTAGCGTAGGAAACGTATGCCTTGATTACGGATTCCAGCTCTAAAAATGGACCGATGGCCATGTCATTGCTACTCATCGAGTCTGTTTTCTGTGAGAAAATACTAACCTCATTATCTGTATTTAAATAGTTTTTCATACAGATCAGCAGATTGCTTATATGGTTTTGACCATTAGCAGATTCAAAGGTCATTTTCTAGGCAGTCGCGTCGTTATTTGGTATAGCAAAAGCTGATAATGTTTTCGCCGTTGATTATGCCTGACTTTGTTCATCCAAATGTTAAGAACTTTATTGTTATGCTTGTTTTGCCATGCCATCCAACTAACTTCAGATTCTGGGAAAGGAAAAAGAGAAGCAGGGAAAACGTAGTGAACGAAGAAAAAAGTAGTGAATTACAGTCAAGACAGATTACGATGAAGACAAGGCAACTGTCTTAATCTTAAGAGTGCATTTAAACGTTTTTTTGTGACTGTCACTTTGTTATGACCCCTTGTGTCATCAGCTTTAAATGCCTTTATTTTCAGATCTTTTAGTGTCTTTGATTTCGATACGTTTCTCTTTATTAAGTTCCAGTAAACCACCCCTTTTATATCTTACTTTATAGATATACTATAAACCTG